AGCCAAAGTCTTCAGAGAAACCCGTGGCTTCACATCAGATAAGCAAGCTAGAGATGCTGAACACTGATGCCAGAGATCTGACACTTAATAGAAGAACAGCAATCTACAGTTGCTGACCAGTGATATCACAGAGGAACGTCTTGACATCAGACCAGCCCAATAACAATGGTGAGCTAATGACTTCACAGAGACCTGGGCCTTGACATTTGATTACCATTCTAGATGTGCTGAGACAGAGTCCTCACAGAATCCTGGATATTCATATAAAACCAGAAAGCTAGATGCTGATCCAATAATCTCATAGAGGCCTCTACCTTGACACAAGTCCAGAAAACTAGAAGGGCTGCACTAGCAATCTGACAACATCCTATGCCCTGGCTTCTTGCCCATCAAGCTAGAGGTACTGAGTTAGAGACTTCTGGGAAACCTGTGCCTTGACATCAACCATCATGCTAAAGCTGTTGAACTAGTGACTTCACAATGAGTACCATGTTACAGGCATCTGAGGGAGAGAGAATATGCATTTTAAAAACATCTAAAATATGTAAAATAGCTATTCTATATTTAAAAAATCATCATTTTAAAGTCCAATTTCTCAGGACTTTCCAAAGCTAAATGCACGCGCTGAATGTCCCATTAAAGAACTGGGGATTTCTTCTTTCCATTGGTCTATAGTGATTTTTTCCAGCCCTGAAATGTACAGTCTGTACCACAAACCACAATAGCCTGGTGTTTGTTGAGGAGAGAGGTGGCAGGGAGGAGGAAGTCATTTTTGAGGGAAAGAGGAAATAATCATTGTGGCAAGGTGATTAAATAAAATTGTGGCGTTCTGAAAATGGCTGAGAGGTTTGGAACTTTCAGAGTAGTCCACGGGGAGATGGATTTGCAGATAGATAGCAGGTAAGGTGGTTAAAGCTGCAGGATGAGCGCATTTATTAAAGAGTCCTGCAAACAAACACAAGTGAAAGGTCCTGCCCTTTGAATAACTGTACAGGAGCTTCTGTCCTATTTTCAAAAGAGACTCAGACATTTAGGAGCTTAAATCTTGATGAAAGACAATGTGGTTTAAACTCCTAAATGCTGCAGTCATTTTTAAAAATGTGATATAGGCACTTTTGAACATTTTACCCCCTAAGGTCATAATTTTAGTAATGATTCTGATCTGTTTTTATTGGATTCTGGAACTAAAAGAAATGTTAGGGGACTGCAGAGCCCCCATACAAGCTGCACCCTTAAACGTTCCTGTGTCCCTGGGCTGAGACCCCTTTGCCCTTCTTGTTATTAATGTTTATTTCATCACTGTTTTAGCATGTGTTTTGTTTAATGTTGTAATACATGTTTGGGCTCAGGAGCAGGGAAAGCTGCGGTGGGGCATTTCTGGATATGCTGTGTATGTGACACGTGACCATCAAAAGGCGCATGCATAGCTATATAAGAGTGAGTTAAAAGCTTCTCTGTGTGGTGGAGAGGTGACAGACTCTGAACAGAGAGGAAGGTTCATCTGGCCACAACCAGTATGCCAAGCCGGACCACCCAGCAGGGAGTGAGATTGTTTACTTTACTTGCTGTACTGTAACCTAGGATCACATATTTGGATTCTATTGTAGTTTTCAGTAAATGGTTAAAATTCACCTGGTCTCTCTCAAACTGAAATGAATTGCTCTAGGGGGAAGGGCAGTTCATAACAGCACCCATCAGGGAGGCAGAATTCTTGTGAATATTTGCTAAGCAATGGCAACAGGGCATAAACTGAAAGGGTAACTCTGTGCAAACCAGTATCATATCTGTCTGAGTGGCAAACCCTATTACATTGTGACAGACGGTACCCCTGTATTCACCCCTTGCACACTATTATAATAATCTTTGTACAAAGTATGCCTTGTGAGGTATCATTTGAAAACTAATAATTTGCTGGTCATTGTTGTCTTGGTAACATATGTGTGGCAACATTGTACCAAGAGTTATAAGCTACCACTGTATGGTGTTACTAACACATGTTCCAAGTCTGGGGAGTGTCCAAACCAGGTCCTCAGAAACAACCTGATGCCTTAGCCAGGTGTAAACAAGGCCAATGGGCCATTACCTGCTAAATGGACATTCTTTGGCAGGAAAGGGGGTGTGGGCAAAAAATATACATCTTAGCAAAGAAACAGCATGGAGTTCCCCTCCATACAGACTGCCTGTCACTATACTCCCAGCTGGAAATGCTTCTCAAAGCAGAAAGAGGACTATGAAAAGGAAGAGGAGACACCCCAAAAGCACCCTTCTCTTTCTCTCTGCCTACCACATCCACAGCACCTGAAGGACAGAGGAAGCAGCGTTGGACTAGGAAAGGGGTCCTGACCTAAAGATTTGGCCAGTAATCTGCTAAAGCATGTGGTGAGAAAACCTTGCTTTGAATTTAACATAGTTTGTTAAGTTAGACACCAGTTGTGTTTTATCTTTATTTTACTTGTAACCATTTCTGACTTTTATGCCTCATTACTTATACTCACTTAAAATCTATCTCTCTGTAGTTAATAAACTTGCTTTATAGTTTTATCTAATCCAGTGTGTTTGAATTGAAGTGCCTGGAAAACTCCATTTGGGGTAACAGGACATGTGCATGTTATTTCTGTCAATTAAATGGTGAAGTTTACATAAGCTTGTATTATTCTGGAGAGGTCTGGGCAGTACCGTACATACTTTTCGGGGAGAAAATCTAAGGCTGGGAGTGTGTTGGGGTTACCCTGCAGTATAAACAAGGCTGGTAAGAGCCAATGTGTGGCTGGCTGCAGCACACACACAGACATAGCTAGGAATTACATGCTGCAGGCTGTTTCTGAGCAGTCTGGGACTGAAGGCTATAGCAGCAAAGCAGTGTAACGGGCACCCCGTGTTAGAAGGCAGGGAGACTGCTATTCATTAGTCTGGATTGTACCCTGGGTATGTCACAGCCATAACAAAGGAAACAGAACAACATACTAAAGAGACACCCATACATACCTGATCTGGTGCAGGAACTATTCTCTTAATGTATGAAGAAGAAAATCCATGATCATACATCAGTCCACAGCTGGTCTTCCTTGTTATCATTTTATGAAACCTAGAAAATTACTAGGATTTGCTTTGACTGGATTCTGTAAATGTCTGCACCCAGCAAGTGTAAACAGATGTCATGCACTGACAGGAGGGGAGACAGGACCTCTACCTATGTCTGGACACGTGGAGGTTTACCCATTTATGGGCGGATCACTCAAGGTGGCTGTGACGCTGGCAGACCAGTGCCAGCTCATGCCAAGGTCCCAGCCTCACTAAACATTTACAAACGCTTACCTGTGTGCTAACATTATAAAAATAGATAGTAGATGTTAAGCGGATAAGAATGTGTTTAGCATTTAGACTTTATAAAATGCTTGTAGGATGCTGCTGTATTGATTGCACTTATAACCTCTATAGCTCATGGTATAAAGTTATAGTGAGTGTCCGCAGTGCAAACCTCTGTAATTGTGTAACTCACCAAATGGGAAAAGAAGCGTTAATTAAGGTAATGCACTCATCATGGCCCACTGAAGGCAAATAAGGTATTGTGCAGCATCAGATAAGAGAGGTCCTATTGATTGCATTCCTAACTCCCTTCAGGAATGGGAGGCCTACGGATGAACTCAACCCATCAATTTTGGTATCTGTAGTGGAGGGTGATAAAAATCCCTGACAAGGAGAAACTGAAGCTCTTTCTTGCTATCTGGACTCTGAGGGGCAAAGCTTCCTAAACATAAGCAAAGAGATCCCCATGCTGCTTGGTATGGGTTAGCCCTGAAAGACACTTTGAATTGATCGATTACTACAACTCTGTCACCTTTTGAATTACAGGCTGAAACTCATTTGTGTATACATGCTTGTTAGCTTTAACCTGCAAAAACTCTCATTTCTTTTTCCTAGTGAATAAATCTTTAGTTAGTTTATTACATACAGCATTGGCTACTAGCATTGTCTTTGGTGTGAGATCCAAGATACAAATTGATCTGGGGTAAGTGACTGGTCTCTTGCGACTGGAAGCAACCTGAATATGTTCTGATTTTTGGTGTAAGTGACCATTTATCACATAGTCCAGCTTGTCTGGGTGGCAAGATAGCCTGGAGCATCCAAAGGGACTGACTGTGACTTCATTATAAGACTATTGTAGTACTTTGGGAGTTCACACTTGTTACCAGGTTGGTGAAATCTAATTATAGTACGCACAACCAGGTTGGGGTGTCTGCCCTGCTTTTTGAGAGTCTGCCCTCAGGCTGGCACTCACGGTTGTGAGTCACTCCAGACAGCGTGACAGTGGCACAAATGCTCTCTCAGTCCATGGGAGATGAAGGCGCTCAGCACCTCTCCGGAGGCAATCAGCACCTTGCAGGGTTGAACCCTTACTGAATGGGCAAAGCACCAAGCTAAAGAGACACTCATGTCCCCAGCAGAATGTGACTGTCACTAAAGAAAAGGGCACACTTGGCTTTGTTTGTCCAAATGAAACCATGGCCAAGCAACAAGTTGACTCGATTGGGCTCAGGAGGTAAAGACACAACTTCCTTGTATGGTGAGGAATGCGCTCAGCAGAAAAACGCTGAAAGGGCAGAGTGGTATGTTCAGACATATGCTGTGGGAGTGCCCCACTGCCGGACACTTCACCTTCTGGAACAGTTTCAAACTCCAGGTCATTGATTCCATCACTGATCATGATCAGTCACCACCCTCCTCTGTAGACCCTGCACTACACATTCTCCACCCTCCTAGGCAGGATGCCTCACACAGGGTAGCACAATGATGGCCCTAAAATCATTCAGTAGTGCTGCAGCGATGCACAGAACTAAGCCATCAGAAAGGTATCATCTGAGACTGAATCAGAGGCAAATAGCACAGAAGAGACCATTCTGCAAACTGATAAGCAGAGCCAAACCAAGACTGATACAAAAATGTTCACAAAATACAATCCAAATGCAAATAAAAGCGGAAGTAAATCCATGTTGTCTTACCTCATCTATATTATCCTTTTTATTAGTTTCATTTTTGAGTTTTTTCTGTCGCACTTTGGTTTCATATTCTGGTCTGGGATGTTCCTGAAACAAGTCAAAACAAAATCATGGTTGTGGGGAAAGGTTTTAAAAGCTGATTATTTGCAGAATATAAAAGCACCACAAATACATCGAGACATAGTTCCTCATCAGTTGTTCAACCATGAAACATGATTCATACACAGCCACAATGAACTGAGATCAAACACTCATAGGTTTATCTAAATGGAAAAGTTAGTCAAAGCCTTTACATGTTCCTTGGTGCATTTTTGATGGTGAAAAGGAAGAAAGAACATATTAAAAAATATTCTCCATAAAGCTGTGTACTGTAAAAGAAACAACATTCTGTACATGTTGAGTAATTCACACTATAGTATATAAGCAAACTTTGAAAATAGCGTAATCTAGACCAGTAACTCTCAAATCATAGTTGGCTCCTGACCCACAAAATGGCCTCAAAATCATTCCATGAACTTTTGTGGCTGGCAAGGGATTTGATTCATAGGAAAAAAATTCAACTATTTTGTGGGGTGCAGATCAAAGAAGTTTAGAGCTGGTTGGATCCTTTAGACCCTTTTTTAAGATACTAGCTTATACTTTAGAGCTAAGTACTGGCTTTTACCACCAGCAACACAGTGCAGTGGATGCAAAAGTACAGGGTCTGAGTAGTGGGTCCTGGAGGCATTACTCTTGCATAGGGCAACATCAGGCTAAACACCTTCCTCAATGCTAAAGGGAAGGTGCACAGCACTTTAAAAACAAAAAAACAAAAACATACCAATATTTACTGCTAAACAATGCAGTGTCCATTCTCCACAACAGTATCCCCTCTGACAATTTGCATGTTCTATCCATTTTAGGGGGTACAGTGCCCCTAACAACGCCATTAAGCCTTGTAAAATTGTTACAAACATTTACCAGCCTGCTCACAAAATCCTACTTGCCCATGGTAACAGTCAGGGTCCAGACACTCCAAAGGGAGAACAGGTTTTGAACTCCAAAGAATAAGCACCTGTATTAACTGATTGTATACAATGTTACTGTGCTATGAAAGTATGTCGAGTAAGGTCTTTTATGAAAGTATGTAACATTCTTAACTTAATTATTATGAGAGAAGTACACAAGCTGTGGTTATGAATTTATGTATTTGTGCATATAGAGAACTGTGCTTAAAAATTTCAACTCCACCTCACAGCAGGACAGAGAGTGATCAGACAGGGAGAAGTATCTCCCAAGGCAGGTGTTTACACAAAACTGGACTCAAGTAACAATCCATAGCACAACCCAGGAAAAGTCAATGATGGGCCATTTAAGATAATGGAAAGACACCGAGACAACTGGAGATTTCTCCACTTTGAATATCAAGAGTGACTGAAGAAAAGAACCTGCAAACCCTTTTTAAATAGAAGGGGTTTGAAGTGAAAGGCATCCAGAAAATGAGAGAAAGTCTCTAGGCAGTAAATTGTCCATGAAACGCTGGATCTCCCCCCATCACCATCAGAGTTAGGTGTATACTGGGAAACTGTTCAAAGGTGATAGGTAACTTGTATTAGCAAAGTGCTTTTATTTAATACAGAACTGTAAAGGCTAAGGTTGCATCTTTATGGTTTATTTACTGTTAACTTGTATATTTTTGCTCTCCCCTACAATTTCCTCTTTGAATCTGTGGCTTTTCTATTAAATAAACCTTTTGTCAATTTTTACCTCAAGGAGGTCTCTGTTGTGCAAACCGTGTGGCGTGCGTGTGCCAAATTGAACTGGTATTTAGGGGGCTGACAAACCAGAAGGGAAAAGTCTGAGTGTCTGGTAGTTAAGAACTCTGGAAGGATGGATTTGGGGAGACTCAGAACTGGAAGGGCTGTTAGAGTCACCCTGCAATTGCAAGGAGTAACAAGGCTGGGGAAAGCCAGGGTGAGACTTTTTGCTTGTGGGCAGGCTATGGATGTCAGGAATCTGAGCCATAGCAACATAGCATTAAGGCACCCCAAGGTTACATGGCAGACAATGACATGACCCCTTTCTGGTCTTGATGATCCCCGGAAAATATGCCACCCTTTATCCTAATGACTGATGATATTGAGCATGAGCATATATATATGCTCATGCTCAATATCATCAGCATATATCATATATATCATAGCATATATATATATATGCTAAAGTTAAGACTGGTTTGAACCCCAACAATAATTTTTCTTTTGTACATTATTTTGTTAATAAATGTTGTATCTATTTTTGCTATTAAACCATTTGTAGTTCAAGTTAAACTTTTCAGTGTCTCTGCATCTGCATTCCACGCATCCACACCTGGACTGGAAATCTAATATATCTTTATACAGTCTTTCAAAGCTGCCTTATCCTTGGACCTTAAGACCTTCTGGAATAAATGTGTGTGTATATATATATATATATATATATATATATTACAAGCCCTTTATATCAAATAATGCATACCATGCATTTAGAGATTTGACCCTAAATCTGATCACATTTACACTGGTGTAAAGCAGGAATAACTCCACTGAAGTCAGCGGAGTTACACCATTGTAAAACTAGCGTGATTCAGAATCAAGTTCTCTGTCTGAAAGTGGGAAGACTTTTAGAGGTAGGACAATAAGCTAGAAATAGTTCTGATGACTTGAGGAAGGCCAAATGTCCATGTAGGGATAAATATGAATCCCACGATGCTGGAGGTGGGCCAATACAGCTGCCAGACACTTATTGAAAACCATGTGAGCCAAGGTACTGTGAGGCCAAATGAATGCTCAGAGTGGAAAATGAGAATTCCCATCCTGAAAACAAAGAGCCAAATCCTACAGTCCTTACTTGGGCGAAACTCTCATTGACGTCAGTGGGAGTTTTCCCTGAGAAAGGGCTCCAAGGTTTGCCCAAAATATACAATAAAGAGATATCCACTATATGCTACAGATAAGAATTTGAAATAACCTTTATACAAATCAAAGGCACACATATAAACGCCCTATTAGAGAAAAGGAAGTATAGAGGGAACAGAACTCTTCTTGAATTTCTCCTTGCTTTGGAAAGAGATTCATTAAAAAATTGTATAAAGCACCCATCATAAACACATCTGGGATACTGAACAGAAATAAATAAATTAAAACAGTCCCAGAACAACAGACCAGTGACACCATCAACTAAAAATGAGAAAGACAAACATATAATTCCATAAAAAGAGGTAATAAGGAGGGAAAGTTAAAATGGTCAATGAAATGCTGGGCATGAACTGAAAGGCCTTACACCAAAGCCTTGAATACAAGCAGACAGAGAGTGTGACAGACACCTGTAGGGAGGGAGTTCCACAAATGGGAACTCTGAAGACCTAGCTGACACCCAAAAGAAGATGGAAACTTGGAACAACAGGAAGAAAAACCCAGCTGCTCTGCACTGTGAGAAATTTCATTATTGCAAATGAAGGATGAGCCTCAAACACCTATATTTCTTGGAATGCTGATGTGGAAATAAAAGTTTGGGGCAAGATTCTCATTTTTGCTATGTCTTATTTGTCAGTGGAATTCCAGTCACCTTTAAGGGCCTTTTACATTGCCAGGATGATATAAAGGGACCATGAGAATAAGGCCTACAGTCTTTCTAGTCCAGAGTTCTACTGCAATTAAATTTGATTTGCAGAAGAAACAAAAAACCAACCTGAATAACAACCTCATGTTACATATCGCTAACAGCATAAATGGAAGGGTAGAAAATAGAAGCCACTGTGGGAACAGGAAGGAACTACCCTACCAAACTCATTCCAAAGCAAATACTAATCTAAAGTGAAAGTCAAAACAAAATAAAGGGCTCGTCCACATCTTATAGGACATTTTTTAGGACATCTTATAGGACATTTAAAGGGCTGTCAACTAGGCAGCCCCTTTTGTACCCATATATATTGGCAGCTTCAAATTATTGCATTCTTACTTCTAGTTTACCAGTCAAGCAGTTGGATGCCTACATGTCATTGTCTCCTCCCACAACACTGCACCCGTAGTTTTTTAGACGTGTAAGTTGAGAGGCTGGTTTTTAAAAACTTGGCCTTAAATTAGAACAGGGGTTCTCAACCTTTTTCTTTCTGAGGCCCCCTCAACCTTCTATAAAAACTCCATGGCCCACCCGTACCACAACAATTGTTTTTCTCCATATAAAAGATAAGGCAGGTATTAAGGGGTAGGAAGCAGGGCAATTGCCTGGGGGCCCATGCCACAAAGGGGACCATGAAACTAAGTTGCTCAGGCTTCAGCTTCAGCCCCAGGTGCTGGAGCTCAGGGCCCCAGGCTGCAGTCCTGCATGATGGGGCTTCACTTTCTGCCCTGGGCCCTAGCGAGTCTAACACCAGCCATGCTTGGCGGCCCCACTGAAACCAGCTCACGGCCCCCCAGGGTCCCGGATCCCTGGTTGAGAACCACTGCATTAGAAGATTCTGATGAGGGCATCCCATGAGGTAAAATGAAACATGCTGTTCATAAGTACTATTACTGCAGTGGACTGAACTACTTGGGCAATTGGTAATAGGCTATAAAACCTTTTACCTCTTGGTCATTAATTCAACTCCAGCACATGCTGATAGTCACAGGTTAGTAGCTGGAATCTTAGGTTTTGAAATGAACCATCTATAGGAGTCCTGAGAACTATGGTATGGAATATTTTGTTTCAGATTATTTCTACTATAATTAAAGTTACCGCTGATACAGACAGGCTGAAGTATTCAACAGCCACTCTCCCATCCCTGCAGTAATTCCTCCAATGAGTAGGGCAATCTTAGTGAATGCTACTTTAAATAGTCTATTACAAATATTGTAGCACCTATCCTGTTAGCCATAGATTGTGAAAAGGAGGCTTTGTACCTCTGGGGAGCTAGGAATCCCAAGGCATTTGTTTCTAGTCCTGGCAGATCAGAAGACATTGCACTTTTGACATGGGACATCATATGGAGAAAGGCTAATTATGAATTTTTTAGAAGTTTCTAATATTCATTACATTATATTTTTCTCTCCTTCCAAGGTCTGTGCAGTTGGAATGCATGATCTTAA